GCAGGAGGCCCCAGTGCCCAGGCAGGGCGAGCACAACCCACGCTGTGGGGTCTGGTCTTGACAGGAGACTGCAATGCAGAAGTGGCCACGGAAGCAACGCAGTTTAATCCAGCTGAGTGGAGCTCCTGGATTTAATTCACATTTAATTTCCTCGTGATTACAGGCAAGTGAAGCACCAACCAGGGAACCAGAGCATTTGCGAAGCCCATCAGTCCCTCTGCCACATCTCTTCCCTGTGACACTGTGCACAGCAGGCATGGATTATCAAGCTTCTCTAAAGGCCTCTGAATAGAACACCTAGACCCAGAGTGACAGCCACTGCAGATGACTGGGTGTGACGGGGCACCACACTGGAAGTGGCTGCAGAGGGCACAGAGCAAGGTGCCACGAGCCCGGCAGCCATGCTGCCCAGCCCAGTGCAGGCAGCAGAAAGACTCAGCACTTCACATTGGAAAACACCTTCCAGGAGGGCTGGAGTCTCTCAGGCCTGCCCAGGGCAGGAACAAACAGCCTCTGCACTTCAGCGGGAGCCCAGGCAGATGAGGGGTCACCACAGGCGATGGGACACCCCCAGACGATGTGCACTTACACTCTTGTTGAACAGAGCAAATCCAGTGAAGAACTGCAAGAGTCTTGGGAAACGTGTTTCAGCTGAGACACTGCCAGCTTGGACCAACAGGGACAGACAGTGGACAAAGCAGAAAGAGGCTCTCGACCCCCAGACTTCTCTGGCAGGAAGGAAGCTAACAGCCCAACCCAGCTGCACACCCACGGGCTGCCTTCCACGGGGCGGAAGGATGACTGGAGCATGCACATGACATCCAGGGTGCCCGGCGCTGACACCCACCTAGGACCTGCCGCAGAGGCCTCCTGGACCAGAGGCTCCTTGTTTCCTTCCATTCTCCTCTCTTTCGGTGGAATATCCACAGCTGCTGCCCTCTGCCTGGCCACTGCTGTGAGTCGGGCATGTGGGGTGAGATGGCTTGTCCAGTGTCACAGGTCAACAGGGAGAAACTGCCTCGGGAACTGTGCCCACAGACAACACTGGACATCCACTCTGCACCTGGACGCCATTTGGGTGATGAGGGCAGGGCCCCGAGCCGATGTCTGGCTGAGACTCGGGGAAGCAGTGACACACTCTGTACACACAGGACTCTGGGAAGCAGTGTCACACTCTGTACACATAGGGACCGATATGCTGGCTGAGACTCTGGGAAGCAGTGACACACTCTGTACACACAGGGGCAGGACTCACAGCCTGCAGGAGACACACCCCAGGGAGGACACAGCCTAGATCCCGTGGTCACAGCTTTTACAGCCCTACCTCCAGTGCCAGCAGGACTAGGACTGCCTCTGACTGCCTGGCGGTGGTGAAGTCAAGGACATTCCTCCACCATGGTGTGTGATGTGGCAAAGGCAAGGACATTTGGAGATGAAACAGAGGTCAGCTGACTTCAGTTCATGAAAAGGGAGACTGGGACAAAATGAGTGAAAGTCACCTTCTAACACAGGACCATCCTGCCTTTGTGAGTGGAAGCTTCTGGTTCTTTCCAAATGAGGCTGTAACCACCCTAAAGGGGGTGGGGCACGCACTGGCCCAGACAAGTAGAGTCAGAGAAGCCAGCAAGTGGAAGTACAGGGGCAGCAATGGGGACAACACACAGGGCAGAGATGGCCTCCTGGGATGACACCCAGTTGCCAATGGGAAAATACTCAAAACCAAACTCCAAGTGTGTGGAGTGGAGGCCCCACTCGAGTGGTGCCACAGTGTCTATCCGTAGTTGTCAATAGAACAACTGCACCACAGCAGGTGCCTGTGTGTGTCACCATCTCAAACATGCTGCTGGGAAGAATTAGGGGGAACCACCAGTGGTCACAGGACACAGGGTGGGGCCCACAGCCCCCAGAGACACAGACACACAGAAGGGAAACCAGGTTGGTCCCGAGAAGGGCAGGCCCACTCCTGAGGGCAGGAGGAAGAATGGAGCTGGGCTGGGGTCACCTGGAGGCAACTCCCCACACACGGAGTCCTGCACGCTCAAAACCAAAACAAGAGCAGAAGGACGTGGGGGAGACCCTTCAGTAAACAACTGACTATTGAAAAAAAAGAAGGGAGCCATGCAGTGTAAAGTAACACAGAGAGTTCTAAGAAGCGGAGAGTCTAACCCCAGGACCCCGGGGAGCCAGGGGATGAGACGAGGCGGAGCCCGGACGCGCTGACAGAGTTAAGAAGCAAACGGCATGCGTGGAGGAAGCGTTTCAGAAACCACGTTATCAAAACAACACAAGGACTTTATTCTGGCTTATGTAAGGGAAAAAGAGATAGCTGGAAAATTGTTACTGACAAGGATAAAACGAGGAGAACCAAGGAATATCAGGCGCCAGTTCAGCGTCTCAGGCGTTTATGTCGACATAAATGTTGCCAGTCCCAGAGGTGCAGACCCCAGGGCAGCAGGGGAGAAGCCCACTCGGCTCACTGGCACACACATGCACATGTCCATAGAGCAGCTGTCACCAGAGAGCACGGGAAGCAGCCACAGACTCACCTCGCTGCCCCCAAGCCAAGAGAAGACGAGTCCCCACCCGCCAGCTGGTGTGGTAATGCGTCAGGCACCGTGTCCACTTCTCCAGGCCTTCCAGGGCCTCCCTGACCAGCAGTCCAGTGTCTGGGAGAGCCGTGTCCCCCACTCTGCTGCATCTACTCACAGTACCTCAGCTTCTCTGTGTGCCAGAAGCTTCACTATGGTCCAATCCCATGAGTACCGTGCTGACCCACAGCAGCATAAACCAAGCTCAATACCCCGTGAGCAGCCACAGATCACGAAAAGCCACACTTACTTCTGCTGTAGCAGGTTGCCAGCACGCCTTTGTCCGCGGGACTGGTGCTGATGTGCCAGATTTCACCCACTTGATGGAGGAGGACGTTTTTATTTATAATGTTATTTTCATCATCAAAATCTATGATGTGGATCTACAAAAGCAAAAGAAGAGCACGTCAGGACCTCCCACACTTACATCATGATTACAAAGAACAACCAAACGCATCTCATGCTGGACACATCTTTACTTGTTATTCCCATCACACTCACAGTGTGTACTTCTGTAATTTAATTGCTACTCTCCTCCTCTCCAGAGAAAGGTACTGGATCCCTGCAGAGTATTTTTAAGATGGCCAGCTACATCACAGTACCCTTTGGTCATATCCAGTCTTAAAGAAATAAGACTCCAGCCTTATTATTACAGTGGCTCACACCTGTAATCCTAGTACTCTGGAAGGCTAAAGTGGTGGATCGCTTGAGCTCACAAGTTTGAGACCAGCCTGAGCAAAAGTGTGACCCCATCTCTACTAAAAATAGAAGTACTGAGGCAAGAGCATCACTTGAGCCTGAGTTGGAGGTTACTGTGAGCTATGATGCCACAGCACTCTACCCAGGGCAACAGCTTGAGACTCTGTCTCAAAAGAGAAAAAAAAAAAAAAGGAAAAAGAAATAAGACCCAAAAATCTCTGTCCTCAAGTGGCTCTAAGTTTAGGACACCACTGGTGTTAGAGCAAGAGTCAGGTCAGCCAGGAACCTCTCCCACTTCTGTGTGTCTGTGGGAGAGAGAGGATGTGGCCAGGCACTGTTGCCTAACTAGGTCTGACACCCACCACGTCTGGCTCACTCTGTAGTGGGCAGAACTCACCTGTCAGAAGTGATGAAGACACGGAACAGTAAGACTGAACATAGCACATTTTAAACTTCATTTATTTTATTTACTTAAGAAATGGGGTCTTGCTGGGTCAGGCTGGAGTGCAATGGCACAATCATAGCTCACTGCAGCCTAGAACGGTCTCAAGCAAGCCTCCCGCCTCAGCCTCCCAAGCAGCTAGAACTGCAGGGTGAGCCCCTGCAGCTGACCTGTGACTTCTGATGGACCCACGGCCACCAGGGCCTGTCATCACATATTAATTGTAATAGTATTTTATTTTAGCCACCAAATGAAAAATCTGGATATGCCATCTCCACACTTTCCAGGATAATTTTTAGAAGAATCAAAATGATTTCACATTCAATCTCTTATCAATATGCAAGTCAATGAGAAAACATACCCTTCTCTTAAAAATAAATTTGCACTTAGAAAATATTCATGGATCTGCACAAAGATTTATATCCAAGAATGTTCACTGTGGCATCAATTATCATAATGAAAAATTACAAGCCACCCGAATGTTTAGCAATACAGAACCGTTCAAATAAACTGGAGCATTTAGCTGCAATACAACATCATGACGCCATTGGACACACTATAGATGACTATTTAATGCTATGGGAAAATGTCCACTGCATGTCTCTGGAGAAAACACTGAAACCTTGCGAATGCTACAGTATGCAATGTCCAAATGAAAAAACTACCAGGAAACCGGCTATCTTTGGACGGTAGGATTATTTTCCTGTACTTCTCTGTGTCTCACAGGCACTTCTAACACTCCTCATGCTTGTCTACATTACTTTTGCAATCAAAGCAAAAATCAAATGCTACTCTAATAAATGTTCCTGAGACCCTACTAGCATCTCCCTGCCATCCCTGATTCAGGGGGCTTCTTCTTAGATTTGGCTGTTCCTCTGACAATGTCTGAATGAAAAAAACACCTCTAGTCCTCGTACGAGTCACTCTGGACTCAGAGTAGACGTCAAACCTGCCGCTGCACACAGGGCTGTGCGTGATGTCCCTGTGTGTACAGTGAAGACACCGGCACTAGCCTCCTAGGATCAGGAGAAACCAGGCATGGCGGGCACGGCCTCACACAGAGCAAGGGCTGGAGAACATGAGGGCCTTCCCTTCTCTAGAAATCATTACTGCCATTTTCACACTATCCTCAGTAAGTTTTAACCTGCACTCATAGACCAGTGTGGTAGGTGTTTTGTTTATCCATTCATTTGTTTGTATGGAGAGAGTCTCACTCTGTTGCCAGGCTAGAGTACAGCCACATCACAGAGCTCACTGTAGCCTGCAATTCCTGGGCTCAGGTGACCCTCCCGCCTCAGCCTCCCAAAGTGCTTGGACTATGTGGTGTGAGCCACCATACACCTCCACACACACACACAGAGCAACTCTCCTGCTGGGCACAGACTCAACAAACACTAAAGAAAGGACTCAGACAAGAATTTTCATGGCAGATTTATTCATGATAGCCGAAAATGGCAAACACCCCCAAATATCTGCCAGTGATCGAATGGGTAGGAGAAAGAGCAGTTTATTCACAAAATGAAATACA